CCCGTGTTGATCGAGGCTTGAGACCTTGGCGCCCGCACCTTGTCCATTAAGGTCGGCGCCGAGTCCATCAATGTTGGGCCCGAGACTTCGGTGCCCATGCCCAAGCCCCAGACACTTGCATTCGCGTCCATCGAGGCTAGGCCGGAAACCCAGGAGCCCATGCCATGATCCTCATCATCTAGGTCCATCCATACTAGACTTGGGATTGATGCATGAGCTCGTGCCTGGGACCCAGGTACCCATGCCCAAGTCAGGGTCCATCAAGGCCGAACTCGGGACCTTGTTGCCCGTACTTGATTTTTCAATTGCCCATGCGCAAGTCATTAGCACCAAAATAAGGTATGTCTATTTAATATTTTCCTAACCAAACGCTGAAAAATATTTTCCAGTTCATTTTCGGGTTTCGGCCAAACACCGAAAAATATTATCATTATCTTGGAAAATAACTTCCTAAAAAATATTTCCAGAAAAAAAATGTTACATTTTAAAGGAAAAACGGAGCCTGAATCTCAATAGAGTTAATTATCAACATTTATTTGATTTTTCTTAAGTACCAACTTCTCTTATCTCTGACCAATTTTTTTAATATTTTATCCACTTTTATTTACATTTACCAGCACGTTATGTTTGCTAACTATTATATGAAGTTACTCATTTTTATTTGAATGACTTACCAAATTTATTCAAGTTTTATACCCTCATAAAAAGTTGGTAAATTTAGAAAAACAAATACCATTGATAACTAACTCAAAATGAAAGTTGGTAATTCGAAAAGTGCTTAAATCAATCGGAAAAATATTTGATAGACTACTTAAATTAAAATTAGTAGCATGATAAAAGAGGTAGGTAAATTGAAGACGTTGTCTAAAAAAAGATAAATAAAAATTGGTAAAAAATAAGAAAAATTAGTCATTAAAGTAACTATAAACTTGGCAAGTAAGTCAGAGTTGGTAAACAAAACTAGTACGTAATCTAGTTGGAGTAAAGTTGGTGAATCACTCTAATTAAGGTTGGTAAATTTAAAGCGTTGTTAAGTTGCAAATAAAAGTTTGTAAATGACAAGAAGACCTCGCTTGTTTTTTTGAAAGGAAAAACCCACACAGACGTGGATTAGTAATTAAAATAAGAGTTAGCAACCCGATGTGAAAGCAAGGGATTGCTAACCTAAAGATATAACTCAATAGTAAATTTGATAAATTAAAAATATATATTTGAAAGTTGGTACATAACTTAAGGGATATGTGCACCAGAAGTCCTAAAACTTATCACAAAAGTGCAATTGAGTCCTAAAATTTGTAAAATGTACAATCGAGTCCTAAAACTTGTCAAATTAAGGGTTAATACCACGAAAAACCCTAAACTGGTACACTTGTGACACATTTACCCTAAACTATTTTTTTGACCATAAAAAACCCCAAACTGGTATACATGTGACAATTTTACCCCAACTAATTTTTAATATTATTTTTTTGAATTTTTTCTTTTTTCTTTTCTTTTTTTTTTCTTCACTTCAACCTCTGGCCGGTCGCCGGTCCGGCGACGGGCCAGAGGCGGAAGCCGGGGAGGGTCGCCATCGGCAGCCGCTGGCGAGGGCCGCCCTCGCTCGACTCGGCAAGGGCGACCCTCGCCGGATCTAGCGACGGCGGCCTCGCCGGATCTAGCGAGGGCGGCCCTCGCCGGCGCCGAGCGAGGGCCGTCCTCGCCCGACTCAGCGAGGCCGCCTCGCCCGCCCAGCGAGGGCCGTCCTCGCCCGGGCCGGCGAGGCTGCCTCGCCCGACGCAGCGAGGGTCGCCTCGCCCAACGCAGCGAGGGTCGCCTTTGCCGGATCCGGCGAGGGTAGCCTCGCCCGAGTCGGCCGAGGATCGCCCTTGCCCCGGGCGAGCGAGGGCGGCCTCGCCCGACGCCGGCGAGGGCGGCCCTAGCCCGACGCCGGCGAGGGCGGCCTCGCCCGACGCCGGCGAGGGCGGCCCTCGCCCGACGCCGGCGAGGGCGGCCCTCGCCGGCTTCCGCCTCTGGCCGGTCGCCGGACCGGCGACCGGCCAGAAGTTGAAGATAAAGAAAAAAAAATAAAAGGAAATAAATAAATAAATAAATAAAAATTCGAAAAAAATAAAAAATAATATTAAAAATTTAATTCAGGGTAAAATTGTCACATATGTACCAGTTTGGGGTTTTTTGTGGTAAGTTCAGGGTAAAATTGTCACAGATGTACCAGTTTGGAGTTTTTGATGATCAAAAAAATAGTTCGGGGTAAAATTGTCACAGGTGTACCAGTTTGGGGTTTTTTATGGTCAAAAAAATAGTTTGGGGTAAATGTATCACAAGTGTACCAATTTAGGGTTTTTCGTGGTATTAACCCTAAAATAAATGATGCACAAATATTTTCTCGTTGTGCTTTGTGTAATCATTTTAAAATTGTAACGGTTGTTAACATTCTATGTTGCGTTTCAAACAAAAGTATCTCTTTAAGGCATGATTAATAAGAGTTTTTGCGCTATCCTTTGTTATGTCATATTCACTTGTATATAAAGCAGAATCTATTGTTCCATGACAAAAACTACGGATTTGTTTCCAGGTCATGTCGGTAAGTGTGAAAAAATCGTCGGCAAATAAAATCACCGTTGAATTTTTTTTCAAGTAACTTATTGGTAACTTATCTTTACTTAGATGAAATTACCAATATTCTCTGAGAGTTTGCAAATTATAAATGTTTTGATTGAATTACTAACTTTTATTATTGTATAACTTATTATGCTTTGAATTTGCTAATCTTATATAAGATTGTCATAGAGTAGAATGATTTACCAACTTCTATCATATTAACTTATTAACTTTTTTTGGTTATCAACTTTTTAATTGAGTTATGGGATATGCGCACTAGAAATCTTAAAACTTGTCACAAAAGTGCAATTGAGTCCTAAAACTTGCAAAAAGTACAATGGAGTTCTAAAACTTGTTAAATTGGTTCAATCGAGTCCTAAAGTTAACACCGTCTAATTTACTAATGGAATATGCTGACGTGGTGCTAACATGTTTTATTTTATTACTTTTCTTAAGACACGTGACGATGACGTGGCGTCCAACAAGCGTCGCGTCAAAAAAAAATTTAAAAATATAAATTAAATTAGAAAAAAGCTACAAAAATTTAAAATTTAAAAAGAAGAAGAAGAAGAAGAAGACCGCAACCAGCGATTGTGGCGGTGGCCAAGCCCTCGCTGGTGGCCGCCGCCACAGCTGCCGAGAAGGGCGGCCACCGGGAAGGGCCAGCGGAGGTTGCCTGGGCCTTCCCAAAACCCGGCGACCCTCGCTTACCCCGAGCGAGCCCCCTGTGAGGGCCTACAGCCCTGATCTGGGGGAGGGCACGACCCTCGCCCTAGATCTGAGCGAGGGTTGCCAGCCGTGGTCACCGGCGAGGGCGAGGCCACCGCCACATTTTCTAGTTGGGTCTTCTTCTTCTTCTTCTTTTTCTTCTTCTTTTTTAATTTTTAATTTTTATAGCTTTTTCTAATTTAATTTATATTTTTTTTCTGACGTGGCGCTTGTTGGACACCACATCATCGCCACGTGTCTCAAGAAAAGTAATAAAATAAGACACGTCAGTGCCACGTTACCATTTTCCGTTAGAAAATTAGACGGTGTTAACTTTAGGACTCGATCGAATTAATTTGAGGGTTAATACCACGAAAAACCCTAAACTGGTACACTTGTGACACATTTACCCCAAACTATTTTTTTGACCATAAAAAACCCCAAACTGGTACACCTGTGACAATTTTACCCCGAACTATTTTTTTGACCATCAAAAACCCCAAACTGGTACATCTGTGACAATTTTACCCTGAACTTACCACAAAAAACCCCAAACTGGTACATATGTGACAATTTTACCCTGAATTAAATTTTTAATATTATTTTTTATTTTTTTCGAATTTTTATTTATTTTTTTTATTTTTTCCTTTTATTTATTTTTTCTTTATCTTCAACTTCTGGCCGGTCGTTGGTCCGGCGACCGGCCAGAGGCGGAAGCCGGCGAGGGCCGCCCTCGCCCGCCCAGGGCAAGGGCGATCCTCGGCCGACTCAGGCGAGGCTGCCCTCGCCGGATCTGGCAAGGGTGACCCTCGCTGCGTTGGGCGAGGCGGCCCTCGCTGCGCCGAGCGAGGGCGGCCCTCGCGGCTTCGAGCGAGGACGGCCCTCGCCCGGGCGGGCGAGGACGGCCCTCGCCCGAGTCGGGTGAGGGCGGCCCTCGCCGGGTCGGGCGAGGACGGCCCTCGCTCGACGCCGGCGAGGGCCGCCCTCGCTAGATCCGGCGAGGGTCGCCCTTGCCGAGTCGAGCGAGGGCGGGCCCTGCCGAGGGCGGCCCTCGCCGGCTTCCGCCTCTGGCCCGTCGCCGGACCGGCGACCGGCCAGAGGTTGAAGTGAAGAAAAAAAAAAAGAAAAGAAAGAAAAAGAAAAAAGAAAAAATTCAAAAAAATTCAAAAAAATAATATTAAAAATTAGTTGGGGTAAAATTGTCACATGTGTACCAGTTTAGGATTTTTTGTGGTATGTTTGGGGTAAAATTGTCACAGGTGTACCAGTTTGGGGTTTTTTATGGTCAAAAAAATAGTTTGGGGTAAATGTGTCACAAGTGTACCAGTTTAGGGTTTTTCGTGGTATTAACCCTTTATTTTAACCTTTTCAATATCATGACAAAAATTTCTTTAATCATGCAATGCCTTCCTTGGTTCCTCGGTGTTCAGTTAAGAGTTAATCTCATAAAAAAAAAGGAGCTTTCACTCTCGCAAGAACCTCCGTAACCTATCTCAATCTTGTGGCATGGGCTCAACGGATGTATTTTTTATTTTAACGTGTTAGTGTCCGCACGCCTTGCATTCTCAATTTTCCCTGGTAAGAGGGAATATTCTTGAGGAGTTTTACATCTCGGTGATTCCGAGGTCCGAATAAGGACTAAAATTGAACCTTTCAAAAACTTGCTTAGGTCCAAGAGATAAAACAAAGTGTGCGACAATTCTAAGTTGTGTTATTTTATTGAATTAACCAAGTTGCTCGCATTCAGCATGACTTTACAACAGCACTCTACAAACAAGTTTTGTAATAAAGCATTCTTGTCATTATTCCTAAAATTTCCATTTCCATTTCATTCGTTATTTCTCACTTTGCCCTAGTTACATGCACGCACGCATTGCGCCAAATCGTCTTCTAGCTGCTCTATCCTCTCGTTCATCTGATCCACCACCTCTCGCAGCCTCTGATTCTCTAGGCGGAGGGACTTGAACTCGTTCAAGATGCTCTCGACCTGCGCCTCAATGGCGTCGTCGCTCAGCTCGAACGCGCCCTCAACAACCCGCAAGATCCGCCACAGGCTCACCACCACGATCAGCCCGCCACCCTTCTTCTCCAAGAGCGCTTCCAAGAACAAGGCCCCGACGGCCACCAGCCCGTCGATGACGTAGCCCGGCCGCCGAAAGAATGAGCCCCCCAATGCGACGGCAAGAGCCAATGTCTTGGCAGAGAGGAGGGCCAAGATTGCAATGCCCACCCAGTGGTACCAAGGCTCCCGAGCCTTGGTCTGGGTTTTCGGGCACGCTTTGTTTAAAGAAGAAGAGAGTTCAAAGGAGGTGATGATCGTGTCCACAAGGAGCAAGAACATGGAAACGATGTGGGCTGAGTTGTAGTCTAGGAATTTCGCTATGCGGGTCCGCCATGTCGCGATGTTTGCGTTCGTGGTGTTCGTGTCTGTGCTCAAGTTGTGCGATCCTCTAGGGCCGAAGAAGAGCTGCCACTTCCGCCTCCGGTTCCAGCTTCTGACAAGGCCTCCTATCGACGATTCGACTGTTCCAAAGGCTGGGGAAGCGCTCGATTGCGGTTGAACTATTTGAGAGGATCCGGCAATGCTATTCGGGTTCATATTGCTCCTTGCGCAAATGTGTAGAGACACTGTTAAGGACAACCGGGGTCGACATGAAAGGCGAATGCCATGGCCTGTTAAAGAACGGAGGTGGAGTGAATGCAGAAAGGAAGGAACCTGAAGTTGCAGCAAGGACGAGGTTGGCATGGCTTGTCGTCCCCCTTTGGAGGATGCGTCAAGATTGGAGATTGTGCTTTGAGGTCAACGCATGCGGTAGCTTCGAATTCCATGCACTCCAACCCCATGGATTGGCCTAACTTCATATGCCAAATATGTGCATAACCATAAGAAAATACGTAAATGGAGGATATATTTGAAATTTCGAAATATTAAAGAAACAAAGGATCCGTCGCGCAAGAGCATGATGAGCATGATCTTAAACACATCTTTAACTTACAAGCAATTTATTTCTCTACTTCCCTTGTTTTTTATCATCAAGAATTAGAGTGTCGATGATAATTTATCAAAACATGTCGAGGATCGATTGGATATTCATTCTCCAGAAATACATTACGTTGTGTCAAAAGGTGCGACAACAATAGATATACTAATTCCTAGTATAGTCCAACTTTGTAATGAGATGATCCTTGAAAATACTTTGATCACTTAATCTTTGGATTTGATAATGGTCCACGTTAATTAGGGACATTTTATCTAACTCTTTGTTTCATGGTTGAACTGATGCTAGTCTCTAGAAGAGAAAGTATCCAGAGGTTTTGATATCACCACGTCAGCATCTCATGAGGCGTGCATTTTTTACTCATGTCCAATAACTTATTGGCATGTGGCTGCTGACGCGGAAAAAGAAAATATGATTTTTCTCTTCTTCTTCCTCCATCACAGAACACCACCTTGTCTAGTTGGCATCGCTTGCAGTCGGCCCTAGCTACACCTCCGGCCACCATCTCCACCCCTTCCGGCGTTGCTCGCAATTGGCCCAAGCTACATCTTTGTCATCACTCGCAGTCGGCTCGTCTAGATCTAGCCTTGCCCATGGCCGCAAGCTTTGTTCATCCATCTCGATTTGGACTGGAGTTGTGCTTCCAGATCTGATCTTGTCCATGGCTGCAAGCCTACCTCGTCTATGGCTCACGAAGCAGCTCGTCCACAGATTTGGCAACCACAACTTGTCCATGCCATGAGCCTTGATGGCGAGGTCGAAATCTTGACGGCCATGGACTGCGAGCTCAATTAGCAAAAGAAAAATAGAGGAATAGTTGTTAGGGAAGACAGTTGGAGCTTGAACGCGGCCATGGACGAGTGACGAGCCACAATGACGATTTCGGCCATGGATGGCCCGATTTTGAGATCTAGAGAATGACAAGACGAAGAAAACAAAGGAAGCCGACCATGCTCAGATTGGACGCAGCGGTGGTCGGACTAATCACGGTGCCGGCGACTCCACCGGCGGGACGACAAAGGAGGAGCGTGTTGGAGGTTATGGGTTTGAGAGAGTAGAAAATGTTTTGCTTGAAGTATTACACCAAGAGACGTCAAGTTTGGAACGCTCAACAGTGTTACCTCCAGCGTAGGAAAACCCTAGAGTTTATATGTAAGCTATTGAGCTCCAGCCCATATGGGCCCAAAATAACCATACTTTAAACCTATTGGGCTTGTATGTGAACATATTATTTGGACTATATTAATAATATATCCAACAATCTCCTCCTATGTTCATCATACAGCACAATCCAATACGGTGATCAGTGTAATGTTCAAACAAATATGAATCATCCATATTCAGTCCAAGACAATCAACTTGGATCGGTCAAAGAGTTTTAGCACTAAATATTAAACTCAATCATAATTTGCAATCTAAATAAGTGAATCATCCTTATCATGAATCTGTTCTGAGATCAGTACATAAAATTAAATATGAAGAGTTTCAGATTCAGTTTAAACTCATCCAAATCCCAATATCCAAAATAAATCTCAGAATCAGTTCACAACCAAACACAATAATGTTCACAAAATAGAGATAGCAAAATGGAAGTCTCAAGTAAATGGACTCCATCAAAATGGGCAATAGCAGGTGACTTGTCAAGTCCCTACATACTCTAAATGATATATTCATTCATCTAGTATATCATCTTGGTCAGGATCCCACCCAGTAAGCTCTTCTCCATCTCTGCCATCCCCTGTAGAATGTCAAATATGAATTTCATATTATTATGAATTCAATCAGGCAGAGAAGAACATATATTAATGTCATAAAGCATCATAATATCATGTTCATAAGCATCAAGCCAGTTTCATAAATTATGAACAAGGCCTAAACAGTTTGAATTACAAAGAGCTATCAAGTTCGGTTTATTTATAAGAGAATAACCATTGTCTAGTTTCAAAGAACAGGACCAATAGTCATGTCACTTACAATAACCAACAGACTTCTTATGCAAACAACTATTTCTATATTTCAATTTGGAATGTCACAATTACTAATTCCTTAAAGTCATAATCTAGCATCAAGTTTGGAATGAGATTATTTAACCAAAAGGATAGTCCAATCTAGGTGGATTGTATCATCAAGTTTGGAATGACACAAGCTCCCCAGATAGAACCTTTGAATTGGGTTAACGTCATCTTCATCAAGTTTGGAATGAGACAACTCATCCTTTTCAAATTAATCAGCAACCATGAACATCGATGAAACACATAAACTGTGCTTATCATTGTGGCCAACAAAGGAAGATTCGATAATGCAAAACATACAATTAGAAGGTAAGTAAATGGTAATTAAGACATATCTACATAGTCTTTAACCCCATTTCCCCCACTGTTTCGAATAATCGATCTGTAGGCATACCCTTTGTGAGAGCATCGGCCATGTTATCCGTCGATCGCACATCGATCAAGGTGATAATTCCTTGTTCGCGCAGATAATTCAACAACGCATGTCTCAGTCTCACATGCCTTCTCTTGGAATTAAAGAGAGCATTCTTGACGACTTGGACAGCGGCTTGATTATCACAAAACAAGTTTAAAGAATTAATCTTTAGTTGAGTCAAAGGAATATCCATAATCAGATTCTTTATCCACTCTGCCTCTTCGCCGGCTGAGGCTAAAGAAAAAAGTTCTGATTCCATAGACGACAATGCAATACAAGTTTGTCTTTTGGATTTCCAAGTAATAGCAGCTCCACCCAAAGTAAATACATATCAACTAGTGGACTTACTATTTCCAATTTCTGAGCACCATGAGGCATCAGAATATCCATCTACAGTTGGAGGATAACCAGAATAACATAGAGCATAATCTTTAGTACCTTTAAGGTATCTCATCAGCCTACTGAGGGCTTCCCAATGGTCTTTACTAGGATTACTAGTGAAACGACTCAGCATGCCAACTGTAAAGGCTATGTCAGGTCTAGTGCAACTCATAGCATACATGAGACTACCAATCAGTTTCGAGTACTTTAACTGATCAACACTGGTCCCTTCATTAGGACTCAGTCTTTTATTGTAATCACATGGTGTCGCACTCGGTTTACACTCGCTTTATCCCCAGGTAGAAAGTAGTTGCTCCATATAATGAGTCTGGCTAAGGGAGATGACTTGCCTTTCAAAGCTTACTTTCATACCAAGAATGGTATTAGCAATACCAAGATCTTTCATGTTAAATTCTTTAGCTAAAGTAGCTTTCACGTCACTCACTACAGAATGATCGGAACCAAGAATTAACATGTCATCAACATACACGCAAATGATGACTATCTTATTTGACATAGAACGATGGTAAAGGCATTTATCTGAATAACTAGACTGAAAGCCATAACTCTTTACCACTTTGTCAAATTTAAGATGCCACATCTTAGGTGCTTGTTTAAGACCATACAAAGATTTGTTCAATTTACAAACTTTGTCCTCAAGACCTTTCATGACATACCATTCCGGTTGTTCCATGTAGATTTCCTCATTTAACTCTCCATTTAGGAAAGCTGTCTTTACATCCATTTGATGCACTACAAAGTGTTCAATAGATGCCAAAGCAAGAAGAATTCTTATAGTTGATAGATGACACACAGGTGAATAGACATCAAAATAGTCTATTTCACTCAGTTGTTTATAGCCTTTAGCTACTAAACGTGCTTTGTATCTGGCTATTGATCCATCACTATTCAGTTTCTTCTTCAATACCCACTTACAGCCTATAACCTTAGCCCCTTTTGGCAAATGGACTAGCTGCCAAGTGTGGTTCTGCAGCAGAGAGCTCATTTCATCATCTATGGCTTCTGCCCACAGTAGAGATTCCCTAGATCTCATTGCTTCCTGATAGGAGAATGGATCATCCTCTAAATGGTAAGTAACAAAGTCCTCACTAAAACTTTTGGGAACTCTATCTCTTGTAGATACTCTAACTGGAGCTTGTTCAACAGTCAGCTGTGGGGAAATAGTGTCAGAAGAGCTTGCTTCAAATTCTACAGGAGACTCTGAAATCATATCTGTAGATCCAGAAACATTCAAGCCATGATCTCTGTGAAACTTGTTCTCGAAAAATTCTGCATCTCTAGATTCTATCACTGTATTAGTAGATAGATCTAAAAATCTATTTGCAGCACTATCTTCCGCACAACCTAGATATACACAAGTAATGGTTCTAGGTCCCACTTTAGGTTTTTTAGGATCTTGTATTCTTACATAAGCAACACAGCACCAAGTCTTAAGAGTATCATAGCTACAAAGACACTTATGCCATATCTCATAAGGTGTCATAGACAACTTAGAGTGCCACAACCTGTTTAGGATGTGATGAGCAGTTAGAACTGCTTCTCCCCATTAGGAGGAAGGCATGCCAGCTATAAGTAACATGTAATTTAACATTTCAGTTAACGTTCTATTCTTACGCTCGGCAACACCATTTGATTGGGGTGGGTAAGGAGCAGTGGTTTTAGTATTATACCCTCTGAAGCACAAAAGTCTTTGAACCCTGTCGTTGTATATTCTCCTCCTCTATCACTTCTAAACCTCTTAATTTTCAAGTTGAGTTGATTTTCTACTCTAGACTTGAAAATCTTAAACTTTTCAAAAACCTCATCTTTCGATTTCAACAAATAAACATGACAATATCGAGAAAAATCGTCTATGAATGTTAGTAGATACTTCCGACCACCTCTAGTAACGTAATTTTTGAAGTCACAAAGGTC